CATATAACCTCCTACCTGGGGGATGGACAACAGAAAAGTGGGTGAAGGCAGACGTCGGACAGTGTAAGATATGACAAAATAATTTCTAAATTACGAAGGGTTCATGAGGGAGAGAGGACTTGGGAAGGAGGGGAAAAATGAGGAGCTGATGCCAAGGGCTTAAGTGGAGAGCAAATGTTTTGAGAATGATGAGGGCAATGAGTGTACAAATGTGCTTTACACAATTGATATATGTATGGATTGTGATAAGAGTTGTATGAACCCCTAATAAAATGATTTTTTTTAAAAAGGAAGAAAAACAACAACAAAAAAAGAAAAGTCTAAAATAAATAAATAAATAGATAGATAGATAAATAAAACAAAAGGGGAAAAAAAAGATTGGTGTTTCAAGTCCCTGGATAGATACCTTGGAAGAGGGACCTGGAGATCTACTTCCAAAGCATCAACTATTGAAAACTGTATAAGCACAGTTCTACTCTGACACACCTGTGGTCACCATGAGTTGGATTTGACTCAATGGCAACTGGTTTTTTCCTCTTTGGTCCACAGTGATGGGCCTCTGTGATTCTGGGACTCATGCTTTCCAATGGTGCTATTCTGTTTTGTATACAGTAAGTGGATTCCAACCCTCAGCATATGATACAAAATTAAAAATAAAACTGGTTTTGATCACTGAACTTGGGTTATGCAAGAAGAAACCATTATTAGGGGAATCTGGATAAAGAATCTATCTCAACAGTTTTAATAATTTTCCTTTAAGTCTAAAATCATTTGAGATAAAAAGTATTTTTTAGGAAGCTTGCTAAATCCCAACATTTTTGCCTTGTTTATATCCAAAGGCCTGAACTTGAAATAGTTCTGTTTAAGTGACTTAGCAGTAATGTTTTCATTCTTTTCTCCTAATTGATTCTTCACATTATACCTACTGGCTGATACTGGGGCTGATCTGTAGATTCTGATTTTGCCTTCCTTTTTCAAGGGCCATTTGTTTTATTTTAAGGTGGGGGGGAAATGTCATTTATTTGTTTGTTTGTTTGCTTTTCAGGGCCATTTATTTTAGGCTGCACTCCTGGCTCTACCCATCTAGCACAGGCATCGTATGCTCCCCACGATGTAGGGCAAGCTTCCTGGGCTCATGGACAAGGCCTGTCAAGGCTCACCTTCTGGTGGCCACTGTGGATACCCATCCCTTTCAGAATGTGGAGGTATTCCTCAGGGAACGGAGAATATGGCAGTAGCTTTGCTTTCTACCTTCCTTTTCTCAGAGATGTTCTTCCTAGTTCCAATATTGGAACTTGTCTCAGGGAGAAGATAGTCAACTCACTTACTGACTCATAGGAACCCTATCTAGGTACAATCAAACGAAACAGTGCCTGGTCCTGTGCTACCCTCGATTGGTAGGTTTGAGCCCATTGTTCCAGCCACTGTGTCAGTCCATCGAGTCAAGGGTCTT